CAGTTTAGTTACTTCTACAGAGAGGGTAATAAGTAACTACAGGAATGGTTAACATGACACTGAGATGGCTACTACAGATATTAGTCTATTGGACAGTTGTCAAATATGATCGAAAAACGTGAGCACAAAAAATCATTGTGTAATTATCAAAAGTGATCAAAGGATTTTGGGTTTTGCAAGCAGTCAATGAAACAAATGAAGTTGATGAAAAGAAATGAATTGACATGAATGGCAGTTAGTGTTTACAGGATAAAGAAAAAAAAACCAACCTTATATTGCTTGCTAAGTAATCTGAGAATATCACAGTAGCAAATTTCTCTAACAGCTGGATTAAAATATTTCTGTATAACAAGCAACCACATAAACAAGCACCTAACGAAAGAACTATTAGATGAATTTTGAAATATTAATTTAAGATTGATTTATTATGCCTCAGTCTCAGCTTTGAAAAGGAGATCCAGAGGTTGACCTCTGTTAAAGTTCACTTAAAACATAAAACAAGGACGTTTAAATTGTGCACTAATAAGCTTAGCAAACATAAGAAAAACTAACTGATTGTTCTTACTGCATCAACAATGTGGTCAGAGTGAGCAACACCATACATTGCTGCACCAAGTCTAAAAATTTCACTGTCACTTTCATATCCAGACATGACTATGGATAGTGAATTATAGAAGCAGTTTCCATCCCCACTTGAGTAGAATGACTCCAGACCAAGCTCATAAATGGACTGGTCAACATAGCTGGAAAATCTCTAAAAGCAATAGAATATGAAGTTAATAACAAGCAATACAATAAAATTTATAAATGAAACTAATGATAATAGTAACAATAATAATGATGATGATAATTGTCCCAAGTTAATAACTATTACAAAAATTTTTACCGCTCTGGAAGTTTGCACTGATTCTCGCTGTTGATAAACTGACATGGAGAGATCTTTGAGAGATGTTCCAGGATGTGAGGAGATAAACTTAAGTTCACCTCCCAAGGCAATCTGACCATGCATCCTAAAATGTCCCTCACAATTTGGGGTTTTATGACTGTATGGATTTCAGTCTAGGAAAGAAAAAAACACCTTGCATTAATAGGTAAATCACAAATTGGTAAACAAAGTAACATTAATATTAATAGTCAAAGGCTGTTAATTAACTCTTATTCATGAGAGTTAATTAACAGCCTCCTTTCATGAATGTTTGCCCTCATGATGGATTCCTCATTAAATGCCCCAACCGTAATTGAAAAAATTAAAAAAAAACTTTTTTAACATCACATTAAAGAGCTGGAATTGGCCTGGCATTAGTGGACCCTTAAACAAACAATATCCACCTTTTGGAGTTAGTAGGACCAAACTGCTTGGACATAGCCTCCTTCCCAAGCTTCTAGCTAAACAACTGGTATTAAAACTTTAGCTGACAGCTGATGAAATGACACAGAGAATGTTTAGGAATGGTAAATTCAAAACAAAATACTTGCATCCTAGACTAGATTAAATTGTGAAATAAATAAATGAAATAGTATGTTTGTTTATTTGTTTGCCACACATACATGCACAAAAAAGTAATGAACAAAATGAAGTTTAATTAATAACAGGAAGCTTACGTCTTCATCCAGTTTTCCTAGAATACTCAGCATGTTTGATGTTTGGATCTGATTCAGTTCACTGCAGGTTTGCAGTACAGATTGCCATACAAGACGAGGTTGAACGTGACCTTCAAGAGTTGCAAAGGGAGGATCAGAAATAGAAGTGGTGACAGCAGGTGTTGATGAAGGAGCAGGAGGGCAAATGGGGCTTGCAAAAACTTCAGGGGCAGATGAGGGAGGATCAGAAATAAAAGCAGAAGCTGGTGTTGATGATACAGGAATGGGAATCACAGGACTGTGAGCAGAATCATCTACTTTGATGTCAACCTCTTGAAGCTGCTGTTGTTGATTCCAATTTCTGTATGAATGCATGATTGAAATTAAATCCTCCAGATGTGGTCGCTTGCTGCTATTATTCACAGCTGTGAATTCAACTTCTTCAGGCCACCAAACTGATCTGCATGCTTCTTTCTCCCATCCAGGCTCAGATCTCCCAACCTGAAAATACACCATGTATATTCTGCAAATCTACAGGAAAATTGATGGTGGGTGCTTAAATTTTTACATTTAACAACTGCATTGCTATTCAATTTAGCACTTTAAAGAAACAAAATTGTTAGTTGTGTGATTAGAATAGACAAATTGCATAGCCTTTTAAGTACATCACCACAAAACTGTTTGCATTTGTGAAAAACGAACCATTTATCCGGTTTGATTACTTAAATTTCTTTACCATCTTTTTTGACTTCCCTAACAACCATTTTCCTCTGATCTACCACTCTAAATTGCACAGGGTCTTCTGCTGGTATGTCATCATCAGATGCCATTTCTTGAGCTTGAACTTGTTGCACTATAGGAAATAAACATTCAAACTGTATTGTACTGTGAATTAAAATCTGCAAGCAGAAAGGTGAGTACTGGACAAACAAAATAAAGTACTTATAACAGACACAAAACAAAATGATGTTAAAATGCACTCAGAATTTAATGAAATACTTTTGTTTGCACAGACTTCGTGTACCGTCTATCCATCTGGTTGAACTTGTTTGAGTCTGTCTCAAACGCCACCTGAAAGAAAATAGAAAATGAAAATCTCATATACAACAGCTTACAGGCTAGATAATAAAATCATACTCCCACACGTAAAATATAAAATTTACAAAAACAGAGGACCCTATTTTTTCTTGCACGACCAGCAGTAGCTGGGGGATCCTCCTCGTCACTAAAAAAAAAATTATATCGAAAATAGATCGATGGGAATTTAAAAAATTAAATAAGAAAATACCACACGATCACGATTCTTTGGGAAAGTCTGATATTCTCATTGTAACAAAAGAAAAGAGCAATGGAAGAATGAATGCCAGCGCTGAGAAATATACTTACTCCTTTTTACGAAATATAATAAAATTAAAACAATACCGCTTTTCTTTCCGCCATGATGAATGGGCCACTATAATAGGTTGTGTATGTATCATGAAGTGTACCAGCAGCTGGTGGTTATTTTCGTGGTTACGAGCAGAATCTGTGTTACTGAATACCTCCAATAACGGGACATAATTGCAACGGTACAAACATGGCCTCCGAGTCGGGCTTCAGACATAGAGATTATCAAAATGTCTTTCGTGTGACCGACGTAAAAGAAAGAAAGAAATTGTTGGGTAAAGTTCTACAAATTCCAGAATTGAACGAAGAAGGTGATTGGAGGCCTGGGATACTACTTAGCAGATATTCACTTTATTTGTAAACAGTGGATTGGCGACTCTACTGTGGGAGATATTTCAAAATTTATGAAACGAAGTACAAGGTGAGCTATTACCCTGATTGGATGTAGATCAAGATACATACATACTCACATTTCTTGAAAGGAACCATTAAGAAGATACATATACCCATGTAATCAATACAAGTTTCATTTAACATTTATGCTAACTTTCAACTCGTCCATCGATGAGTGTTGTCGCTGCTGGTGTTATGTGCTACCTAACTATGGATAAAAGGCTGGTTGAGGTATTAAAATCCATTGCCTTAGCCACATATCAGCCTTTCCTTTTTTGATCGTGATTGACTTTGTGTACAGTTATCCCACACTGTCCAAAATCATTCACTGTTTAGTAGAGTCTTTGACATGTACAAAATTTAACAAACAAAATTCAGGACTCCTCGTACACAGAACAAATGGTTTGGGTCCTATGCAAGAAAAATGTAACCAAAATCTCATGGCCGAAAGTGAAAGATCTGGATCGGCAAAATAAGAGATTCAATCTAAAGAACTGGACTTGAAGGTAGTCAGTTTCTTAAATTTTTATACTGACCTAAATTTAGTCTTTGTTGAGTCATTTGTGCATTTCATTTGGAGCAATATTGGACAAAAATCTCTCTTTTTATTCCAAGACTTATGCAAAAGTCACTGATTGGCCAAAACCTTCTTGTATATTTTTCCAGAAAGTGAAATCTCATGACTGGTATTGTGTTGCACTACAGTTTGTCTTTTTGCTGTTGAATGACAATAAGGTGCTTTTCTTTTTGATGAGATGTTATTTAACCCTTAAACTGACTCTCAGATCAAATTTGTAATTCTCCTTTCTGTCAGCCATGCAATTCTTATCATGTTAACTCAGATAATTTAGTATTGAATCAACTAATTATTCCCAAATTGATATTTTTCTTAATTGTCTTCACTTACCTGGTTGATATTGTATTCATATTGTAAGGAGAAATTCTGTCTTGGTCACTCATGGGAGTTAAAGGGTTAAAGAGACATAAGCTGTAGAAATTGATTACAATTAGTCAACCAGAGCTTTTAAGTCCATTTGCTGGCAAAGAGTGAGATCTTATGGGCATCAATTATCAAGGGTGGGATGGGGAAGAGGGTATAGGGGCATGTTCCAACAGAAAATTGTGAAAAAAATGAAATAGCTGAGATGTGCATTCCTTTAATCTGAGAGAAAATTCTGCAGCTAAAAAGTGTGTGACATGAGTGCATAAGAAACAACTGAAGGAGTAAATTATATTTGAAAGGATAATTAATTAATTGTAGGTACTTAATGAAAGTACCTACGAGAATTTGCGATAACAGTTTGCTATCGCAAATTCAATCAAATTAATATGAATCCTTAAAGGGGTGAGAAATACTGGCTTTAGCTTGAGAGTGTAAGATTGAATTTGTTTGTGTGAGTCTCTTGCTCAATGCATGAGACTTGAGAGCTTTGAATCAACTCAACACATTTTGTTCAACTCAACAGCAATTTTTTCTGTTGTTTCTTTTATTTACCCAGTAATTTACAAGGAATTCTTCAATTCATGCCATTTATTTATTAATGCTACTGTAAATTTTTTAGTGGGTAGGGAGGTTCATTGTAAAAGGAAATGACAGAATGGGGGCTGGAAGAATAAAATAACATTTCAATATTCCAAAAAGAAAAACATTTCCAAACTTGAATGTGTCTGTACTATCTTTAGAATAATGTTCACCAACCAAGTGTCAAGCATGAAAGCAAAATCAAAAATTGGAATTTAATACAATTAAAATAGAGAAACTTTATTTTCAAGGGGTTTAAGAACAAAGAGACAATTGTAATGCTGTAATCAATGCTGTCTCCACTTCCTTTGGTGTAAACTTCACCAAAAACTTTTTTTTTGACAAGGAAAACCCCTTGAGGAGGCTATAACACTGTTTTAAAAAACAGCTCAACAGAATCGCCCATTAGTCTCCTGCAAAAACAACCTCAAGTCTTTAAAGCCATCCAGAAGTACTGGTTATTAACCCTTTAACTCCCAGATCAAATTGGTAATTCTCCTTAATCTCAACCATACAGTTCTTATAATGTTAGTTCAGAGAATTTAGTATTGGATCAAAAAATTATCCCCAAATTGATATTTTTCTTTATTCTCATCACTTATCTGATTGACATTGTATTGATATTGTAAGGAGAAATTCTGTCTTGGTCACTCATGGGAGTTAAAGAAGATGCATTTTCCTCTAATGTTTTGTAAAATGTTCCTCTTTATTGGAGCAATTAGTGCTACAAAAGAAAAGATAGTTAAGCACATCTATTTCATCATGAAATGGGTGATCATTATACAGTTGAACCTGTATTAAGCTGCACCATATTAAACAGTTACCCTGTAATAAAGCAGTCACTTCTCAGTTTTTCTCTCCTTTATTACTGTAATTTTCACCTCTATTAAGTGGTCATGGTCATCCTTGATTGAGTCCCAGCTTCCTGTTTTTATTGTTTTCTACTTGCATGTGTTGAACAATCACTTAAGCAGAACCTCTCAAATAAAACTAGGAATAGTACTTTGAGTTAAAAGGTGCTCAACATATTGCAAATTATCTAATTCTGTTGGGACAAATATCATGCACAAACATTACACAAGTCAATTAAAATTTGATTGAAGGGTTAAGGGGGCTATACAGAAATCTTTCTGTTGTCGTCAGTTATCATTACTTGACCATTTGATATTGTTATAAAGTCATGAGGAAAAATGTTTTAACACTTTGAACTTTTCACTCTCAAGATCTCATTAATAATTCTCCTTACTGTCTGCAGTACAATTCTTATGATGTGAGTTTGGAGAATTTGGTTTTGGATCAACTAATAATCTGCTAATTTATATTTTTCTTTATTCTCATCACTTGTCTGTTTTATATTGTATTGATATTGTAAGGAGAAATTCTGTCTTGGTCTTCACAGGTGAAATCCTAAGAGTAACCAGCATCTAATTTCTCCTTACAGTAATACTGCTGAATCAATCATAAAGATCATGAGAATAAAGGAAATGATCACCAACCTAAGAAGCTTTGATTGTTAAACAAATTCTCCTTGTCAGCACCTTAGGAAATGTATAGAGAGTTGTATGGAGAATATACTTACTGATGTAATGGTGTGAAGGGTGAACAATCTCTCTTTGTGGTCAGCAGTTGAGATGCTATGATTTTCTTAGAGCAAGAGCATCTAAAGTATTTCTGAACAATAATTTTTGATAATTGCAGGGTTTCTTTCATCTACGGCCTAATGATAAATTTAATTGTTAACTTGATAAGGGAAAGTTGGTTTTCTTTATTCTTATCATTTTTTAAACGTTATTTATTATTGCCAGTCAACAGTGACATGTGTAGGCTGTGTTTCCAAGGACCTGATGAAGAAATTTTTGGAAAATTCTTAAAGGATATAAATACTGGTTTTTCAGTTCACCAGTACTGTATGGTAAGGAATGATTCCTTTACAAATTTAAAATTTTTTTGCATGTAGTTCAGCCCTCTGTCCCTTTTAATCTCCTTAACCTCTAAGAGTGACTAGAATCTAAGTTCTCCTTACATTATCATCCCTGAATCACTCATCAAGGTCATGAGAATAAAAGAAATGATCACCAACTTAGGAAGCTCTTGATTGTTATGCAAGTTCTCCCTGTCAGCACCTAAGGAAATGTATAGAGAACAGTTTGGAGAATATGCATACTGATTAATGTCAGTGTGTAATGGTTTAAAAGGCAGTTGTGCCTCAGTAACACTTAGGATGTTGGGAACATGGGAATAGTTTGTAAATCACTCACCTCCAGCCAGTAATAAACAAACTTTTCTAGGCATGTGCTATCACACTGGTAAACTGATAGAAAGCCCTGTCTATTGCATAATGAATTGTTTCCTGTGCAGTTTCTTTCCTCAGGACTGGCTCAGAGAGGAAAAGATGATGAAGAATTTGATGGATTTTTAATCAAGGACATAAAGAAGGAAATATCAAGGGCAAAGAGACTGGTTAGTGGCTTAGATGAAATTTTAAATATGCCTTTAAGCCTGGATCTCACTTATGACAGAGTTGGGGTTGGATTGGTTATCAGAACCACACAAGCATACAATCTAGAGAAAATCAAACCAATAGAATCAGAAAAAATATATAGATGCTGCTTACGGTACAACTTTGTTGCCTAAAATGTAGTGAAAACTGGATTGTTGGAGTGGTGAGTAGAAGACTGTTTTTGGCAGGATGGAAAACTGGATTTCAATTGAATGTCTTTTTCACTTCTGCTTGTAACTCCCATGATGTAGTTTTCCCTGAATCATAGGAGTCAGAGACAAGTGAAATTGGAAGAAAATGATATGATGTAGTAAAAATTGAAAATCGCAATTGTAAGCAGAGTTATAAACTGAACAGAATTAAAATCAGAAGAGGTAGGGCAGTTTCATTTTCTTCTGATTTGGCTTAACCCTTTCACTCCCAAGATCTAATTAGTAATTCTCCTTACTATCTTCCATACAATTCTTATGATGTTAGTTCAGAGAATTTGGTATTAGATCAACTAATAATCCCATGATTGACATTCTTCTCTATTCTCATCACCTGCCTGCTTGATATTGTATTGATATTGTAAGGAGAAATTCTGTCTTGGTCACTTGTGGGAGTGAAAGGGTTAAGACTCTGATGCTTATGATTCAGTGAAAACCCTCTTACAGTTCAAACTATGACTTGGATTCCAATTCTGTCGCCTGCAAAAACCAGCCTTTAGAAATCCAAAATGCTAAAAACAGTCCTGGTCACTTATTTGTCAGATACAGACACTCAAGTCTCCATCTTAGGCCACTAAACTTTCTTGTCAATAGCCTTGATGTTCAATAGAAGATACAGAATAACACACATCTAATGATTAATTTTTTGTAGTTTCTCTCATAATGCAGTTGTTTGACCCTTTAACTTCGTAAAGTGATCAAGATAGAACTTCTCCTTACAATATCAATAAAATATCAAGAAGAGAAGTGATGAGAATAATGAAAAACATCAATTAGGAGATTATTGGTTGATTCAAAACCATTTTTTTCAAACTCAAATGATAACAATTGTAAGGAGTGAATTTATGAATTTTTGATTGTTTAAGTGAAAGGGGTGTGCAATGTTTTTCAGCTGCTCACTGAACTTATTTCCATCTGTCACTGGTGCAGCTGAAGTATTTGATTTGAGCCTGTACCTGTGAGATTGACCACTGACCGGAAGAGCCTGCTGAGCTGCTTGTGATGAATTATCTTATATTTTCCAAGAACTATATTAATTGTCTTTATGGTATTGTTTAGTTTGGCTCATTTCTTTGCAGAGATGCAGTTTCTGCAGGAAGCTGGGTGCCTCTATTGGCTGTTGTGAGGGAGGATGTCGTGAAACTTTCCACTATAAATGTGGAAAAGAGAACGGAGCTCTGTTTCAGTTTTTTGATACCTTCAAGTGAGTTTATTTTCAGTTGTAATAATGTTCTCTTGCTTTGCACTAGGGCCATAAATCCAAGCAGAAAATACCCATTCCATGACTTACAATACAGAATTTTAATTGGGTTAGTAAAAGGTTTTTAACCCTTAAACTCCTAGAAGTGATTAACAAGTAACTTCTCTCTACAATATCCTTTTACTATCCACCAAACAGGTAATGAGAATACTCAAATGTATCAGGTTGAAGTTGTTCTCTTGATCTAACACAAAATTCTTGTAACTTATTCACATGGAAATAGAGGAGAGCAGAGAGAATTAACAATCAGATCTTGGGAGTTAAAGGGTTAAACATGTAATTGTTGCTTGTGATTTCAGTAAAATAGCTTAACTTTTTGAAAGAAACTCTGCATCAGAAAGGCCAAAATTTGATGAACACTGTCAGTGGCATTTAATGGATATGTTAATGATATTAATAATGACTGTCTTGAAAGGTTGCCTCATCCATAGGAGATTTTTAGGCTAGTCCTGTCTGAAAAATCTAGGACTTGAAAAAAAAAAGTGAAAAACAACTTAAGACTTTTAAGAATAACTACACCAAGGTTAACCCTTTTAACTCCCAAGATCAAATTATTAATTCTCCCCTCAAGCTGCTACACATTTCCTTGTAAATTAGTAAAGAGAACATGGTGGTAGATCAAGATAACAAATTCTACCTGATAAGTTTGAATATTCTCATTACCTGTTTGCTGGATAATGTAAGGATATTATTGGGAGAAGTTTCATGTTGATCACTTCTGGGAGTTAAAAGGTTAATAAAACAGAGCTACCAAAAAACTGCAAAGTCTCAGTTTTCTGACTTAAATTACACTAAAATTCTTAAGATAGCATTTTTGAGATGGCAAATAGTTTCACTGGTCCTGATTATTAATGGAATCTTGTTCCATTCAGTAAATAACAAATTAAATGAGTGTGACTGGCCCTTACTGCCAGAAGATCTAACACGATTTGTTTGATAACAGTGGACTAAGGAGCCAGAACTGAAAAGATAATTTTGATGATTGTTGTGAATGTTGATTACTAAATGTAGCATCAATAATAATATTTACCATATTTTGTCCCTTTGTGTTACACCACAGTTCTTTTTGTCGGCATCATCGCCCAACCCAGGATGTGGCATTAAAAAGAAACCAAACCTTTCCAATCTGTTTGTGTGAAATAGAACAGAAGAATAAGTCACCTGTTTATGATATTCCTCTTGTCACACCTTGCTGTAGAAGGACGTGGTTTCACAACAAATGTCTTCAGGTACAGAAAAATCAATTTTTTTCCAATTTTTTTTCCAATTTATAATTTTCACAACTTATTGCCAAACTCCACATTTTTGTCAATTTGTTGTTGTTTTTTTTTGTACATCATTGATTGACAAGGTAACCAAAGAATCACTCTGATTTTCAAATGATCCTGGCAGAATTACTCATTAGAAAAAAATCTATCTGTATATGAATAACTGTAACTTGCTACAGAAGCTAGATGCGATGAAAGTTTAGATTGTCACCAAGGAAAAAACACAATCATATAAGTATTTAACCATTTTACCACCCTGGGATACATCTGCAACTTAAAATCTTTAAATTCAAATGGAGTAATAATATGCTAAGACACCTTTTCTGGGAAAACGTTTGGTTCATTTTATGATCATAATTATTATAGCTTTTCAATTTTTAACTTACCAAGTACTGTAAAACAACTGTCTATGGAGTTATGTGTTTACTCCTCAACTAAAACTTCTCTTTTTCACTCTGTGTAGAATTCTTAATCAATAGTGGGGCCACTTTTACAGGGAGTTGCCATATGTGTGGTGTTTAACGTTCACAGTTGTTGTACTTCATTTTACTCTGAAATATTTTTATTGGTTTTTATGTAAAATTAAAGAAGCAATGATCATACAAACAATTGTGCATTTGTTGGTAAGGCAATGGGTAATACTAAATTTCATAAGGCCAGCCAATCAACCCCTTCCCCCCCTCCCCCCAGAAATTATAAACCCCACAATTTCTCCTTATGACATCCATGCATTATCCAGAAAACAGGAAATGAGAATACTCAAACCTATCAGGTAGAATTTGCTATCTTGATCTAGCACCAAATTCTCATAACTTCTTTACAAGGATATGTGTCTAACAATTGAGGCCAAATGTATCTCAACACAAAGTTCAATTTGGTTTACAAAATTTATTATGAAAAAAATAAATATGTACATAAATTACATTAATATTTACAACAAATGCAGAAACCTCCCTGAGTCAAATTGTTTAAATGTTATGTAAATCTCACACCAAAAATCTACTAAAAGGCCTTGCTTAGGGTCTGTCTGAAAGCAATGTGATCTGATTTATAATGTGGTTTCATATCTTTTTTTGATATTTTGCCAGAAAAGCGAAACTACTTGAACCGGTTCGCTTTAATAAAAAAAAAAAAATTGTTGAAAACACGAGAAATGAAAAAAAGAAAACCTGGTATACTACCAGGTAAACTGTGGTGTATTCACTAATCTAATCCGCTTAAAATCTCACACAAAACTCTCAAGCGATCAAAACATACAGAAGCATGAAGAGAATTTAGGATCGAAACTAACCAATCATGAAATGAAAAAGCTTCCTCAGAGGTCCGAGGTTTGATTGTTTTCTCTGCGGGAAGCTTTGTGTTTTTTACTTCAAAAAAAGATTGACATCGTTTGTTCTCAATAAACATGTTCATTGGTTCATTTTCCTTCATTTCGATCCGGTTCAAATAATCTCGCTGCTCTGAGCGCTTCACAGAGTAAGTTTGCTTTCATTCACGATTTGAGTTGTTGGGCTGTAATTATCACTGAGCTGGTTACCTCACAGTTATTTTGAATAGTAAGTGGTTCTAATAATTTCTTTTTAGTTTTTAATTGGAATTGCTGAGGCCTAAAGATATAGCTTACACTTAGACTGAATATTGCTTAGTAAATTATGTGCCTTTTGCTCACCGGCTTCTGTGATGTTATTGTATGAGAGGTATAACGTGCGTAGCTGACAGTTGTTGTTGTTGTTGATGGCTTCAGCCAAGTGCTGTGCTCCAGTGTCTGAGATTTTATTTAATGTGAGGTATAACGTGCGTAGCTGACAGTTGTTGTTGTTGATGGCTTCAGCCAAGTGCTGTGCTCCAATGTCTGAGATGTTATTTGATGTGAGGTCTAACGTGCGTAGCTGACAGTTGTTGTTGTTGATGGCTTCAGCTAAGTACTTTGCTGCTTCATCTGTCAGTTGATTCCATGTGAGGTTTAACCAGCTCAGTTGAGATTCCCTACATTTTAACAATTTACAAATCTCCAAACAACCTAATGGACCAATGTTATCGCTAGTCAAATCTAAATGTGAAATTTGTTGAAGATTAATTACATTTACTAGCGAAGAGCAATCAACAGCTGTGAGGTGACAACGAGTAATATTTACATAATTAAAGTTAATTTGTTGAAGTTTTCTCTGTGCTTCTGACTTCATTCTACTGTTTTCGTTGAAACATTTAATCAATGTCACTGCTAAATCTCGTTTGTCTCTAGTCGGCCAGCAGGTCACTTTCGTTTCCTTTTTATTCTCTGTGCACTGTACGTTATGGTATGCGTCTTCTTTTTCTTCGGTTTTCACAGGAAGAAGGTCTGTGATAATTTCGCGTGGTAGGTTTTTTTTATTCTTCATTAATCCTGCTACAAACTGAAAAACCAGCTGCCATTTGCCTTCTTTGATGTTCATCTGAACAAAGTTTCTTAATTCTGTTTCACTCATGTTGTTTGTCAGGTGCTTTGCAGCGAAAAACTCCTGCATTGTAAGATGAATAAAACAGAACTGTCCTTCGCTACTAAACGAGTCAACTTCACGGTCGGGTAAGCGGTGAAATAGAGCGCTGTCTTCCATTCCGCGTACTTCGTTTGCTCCAAAGATCAGCCTTCCTTCTTTAATTCCTTCAAATGCCAATTTTTCTAGTTTCTCCAATTTCTTTTCTTCTTCGCGGGGCAAATCATTTGATTCAAAGTCTTTGCGAGTGAAATGTTTATCGCGAAATTCTTCGGTGTGTCTCAAGTAGAAAATTTTTACAGCTTTCTCGTATATGTCTGTTAAACTTGTTGGTAGGTTGAGACCTTTAGAAGCATGGAACTTTACCATCTTAAAAAGACTTGAGCAAATGATGAAGCAACTCGCAGGAATGTAACAAAGAGATAAGATATTGATGTTGCTGGTGATGTGACGCTTTACTGTGTCGCCTGCTTCCTTGTCTTCTTCTGCAAATTTGGTTACGTATTCTTCGACTTGTTCGGATGAGAAGCCAAGGATCTCGAAGATTTTGTGAAAAGGAATACTTTCGATGCATGAAAGAGCTGTAGGTCTTGTAGTAGTTATAACGGCTGCTCCATTAAGAAGTTTTCCAGTCGTAAGTTTGGCATAAAGCGCGGAGAGGGGCATCTTCTCGTCTACTTTGTTTCTGAATTGAGGTTCATTATCTTTCTTGCTGATTTCTGAGTTAAATTTAAATTCATCAAGTCCATCGAAAATAAGGAGAACTTTCTGCGGGTTTTCTAGGATGTAATTCCAGACTTGCTCATCTAGCTCATCCCTGGGTGAGTATGTGGAGCGGGTCATTAGCTCCCTAAGACTAAGGTCGGTTGCAGCGTTGAATAATCTGAATTTGACGAAAAAAGCAACATCACAGTGGATTTTGTCATCGGGTGTTTTATGGAATACTTTGTTAGACGCCCAGTCTCTGAGAATTTTTGTACAACTAAGAGTCTTTCCGATTCCGGGACGACCGACGATCAAAATGTTTTTGTTTTCGTGATTAAGAATGTCCTCTGGCCCTCTCGGTGTTTCGTTTTTCTCACCCGACCTGGCGTAGATTTGCAAGTTATTCCGTCTGTCTTCAGTAAAGTCATATTCAGCCATGTCAGGTACAACAACAAGGTTTGTGTAAATTTGATCCAGAGTCAAGTGTTTAGGTGGGTGTCCTTTGCCAGGAGGACTTGGAAAAAGCGACCGGAGTTGTGGAGGTTGATAAGTGTCGTCTATAATCATTTTCTTTGTATTGCGGATGAATTCCTGAAGCGGTGATTTTACGATTTGTTCAGGCCCGCTTGGCAGATGTGGGATGTTCGTATCATCGTCTTTACTTTCTTCTACCTGGTGAACTTCTTGTGGGATGTTTGTTCCATGTTCTCTTCTTTCTTCTAGCTGCTGAGGTTCATGTGCGATGGTTGTTACACGTTGTGTTATTTCTTCTTGCAGCTGAGGTTCATGTGCGATGTTTGTTACAAGTTGTGTTATTTCTTCTTGCTGCTGAGGCTCATGTGCGATGGTTGTTACAAGTTGTGTTCTTTCTTCTTGCTGCACAGGTTCATGTGTGATGTTTATTACAAGTTGTATTCTTTCTTCTTGCTGCTGAGATTCTTCCGGAGGATTTAGATGAGATGCTTGGAACTTTGAGTTTTGCATGAAATCCCTTTCTTTGCATGCCCTTAAAAAAATGTAGACGATTTCAATCAGAATGGCAACGACAAAAATTCCATTCACTACAAGGACAGCATCCATCCAGGAGGTTTTCTTTACCGCTCGTTGATTGTGACAGTCGTGTAAAGTAGAGTGTTGGGCGTTGTCAGATGAATTCCTCGGCTGAGTGGTTCCATCGGTTAAATAACAGTGAAACTTAGAAGAAAACTTTAAAGGATAAAGCAACTGAGTTTGTAGGATGATGAAAACAACTCCTAAAACAAGTCTTGTGGATAGTTGACAGCAATAAGCAATAAAAAGCTTGTATCCCGTTGATAATGCGTTCTCTTGGTTGCGCGACTGTCCCTCTGGATGGTTACGAATGCTTTGCGATAGTCGATTGACTGTTGGTTTTACTATTTGGGAGTAGATAACACATACAAATATAATAAGGGCGAAATTCATGATTACGAAGCCATAGACAGGCAAAGCGAATTTGTTGTACTGCTCCTGGTATTTATCGTAACATTTTCCCCGGACGAGGTTGATGTGTTCACTTTTCGCTCCACCACAGTGGAAATCAAGCCTGGGTTCGCTGTTTTCCATGTCGGCGAATATAACAAGGAAGATGACACCAATTACGATCCAAAAAACCACTACAACATAGTGAACTTTGCCGAAAGCTTTTGGTTCCAAATAATCTAACAGTTTTTCCACTGACATCTTGAGTGATTCTGTAGTTTCGTTTGAATACTAATTTTCCCCAATTTAAATGAATATTTTAAAAGATACAGAACTTTCTTTTGATTGGCTCTTTGAAAACCTTCAATTGTCAAAAAGGCAATGGCTCATGCAACATTTACTTGTTTTCATAAGAAACAGATATCAGACCACTAAATTAAGACGGATACAGATGCATTCTATTGCTGGAAGATGCGCTTGACCTCCATTCGCCCCCATTTGCTCATTTTCACACTGCACTTCACTTAATTTTCAGCTCTCAAACCTGGAGTATTAATGTTTGTTTTTTAACCAGCTTGAAGCCTGGTAAATTCTAAGCTACCAAGTATCGCTATTTTTCTGTGGCATTTCAAAAGAGATTTGAATTTTTTACTTAGAAGCTAAAACACCTGGGTGTGATGCAGGTCAAAGACTTCTTTCTTTAACGCCAGTGGGAGACGTGATGAAAGAAACACATAGTCTGTAGACTCTGTAAGGTTGGATAACGTAATGTGAAGCAAGAATTTCCGCACTAAGCTAAAACTTTGAATCGTCAAATTCCCGCTTTGAAACGAGTCTACAGAACTGGTTCACACTTGCTTAGATTAGTAACAATAGGAACTCAAACTGTATTAAATTATTTTTGCTGTCTTATTTAGTTGTAGCTCCTCCAAAAAATTCCGTAGCATGTGAAGAGCATGCGGCGTCAAGTCCCTTTGGCTGGACGTCTTCTGTTGTTCAAGGGGTTAGGAGGGCATGATTGACTGATAGATTTGGCGCCAGATTGATGCTTAAAGGAGGATTAAAGAGCTTCAGCACAGATATCGTGACAATAGCCAAGAGTGCTAATGACGTCATGAAATTTCAGTTCCCCTCGTGACTCAGACAAACAACGTTCGATCCTTATTAAATGTGACAAATAATAATTAAACGAATGGAAGGTAGTTCGCTTCAATCTTTTGCGGTTTAGAAGGCTAAACAATGTTGTTAAAAAACCAAACCAAACAATTTCATGAGACTTTCGAAATGAACAACAAAGCACTTCATCATAATGCTTCCAATCAACTGAATCAACCTCTCACTGCGTTAGCCAAAACAAAAACTTTCATGTGGGTCCAAAGCAAGGTCAGTAAACAAATTAAACACGTCCACCTATGGAAGTTAGACAAGGCTGTCACAATTCGGGAACTTATCACAGCAGCTCAAACCTAAATAACTTCGGAATTTGAATTCATACAAAATAAAAACAAACGGCTGCGTTGCATAGGCCTCTGGGTACAATCATACTATAAACGAAAGATTAACTCATCCTGAATTGACTAACTAAATGACTAACTAATCATAAACTAACTAAATACTTCCTAACAGAAGGATCCAGGTACAACAAGTCTTTTGACCAGTCTCTTAGATCCTCAGTCAAATAAAAATCAAAGCTTTCAAAGCTTTTCAAAAAAAGAAAAAGCGTCCTGTTTCGAAGAAGCAGCAACAAAAGTAAACAAGCACCTCGTGCGCTAAATAGGATCATCACGGATCATTACGGTAAATCGAGAACGAGCCTCCATGCAGTAATCAGAGCCTTGTGATTGCGCAAAGATTCGTGGGATCCCCACGGGGCAAAAACTGCAAGTTGTGAGAAAGGTCAGCCTGGAGAAAGGTATTCTGTAACAAAGAATAACCAAGCAGCTGCTGGTACACTTTATGACACATACACGCCACTGTAGCCGCATTCCACAAAATGGCGAGCAGTGCACCACCTTTTCGAATATTTCCCGTCGTTCATGAAATGAATTAAGCGAGAGGAATAAAAGAAGAGGCTGGTGCAATTTTCCTAGTTTCTGCCAAAGAAGATAAGACGTAGGGGATTGTTGTATCCTCCTAATGCATATACTATGCCTTGGATTCGTACAGATAAGGTTTACACACTGATCGACCATGTGCTTTCTCTTTTATTACCTAATTCATATATGAGTACATGAAGCCTGTCTGCGCTCAGTACGTCATGTAATACATGACATCCCTCCTTTTCTTGAAGAAAGAAAACAATAGTCCTTAAGACTTAATCAAAACAAAACGTGCGAATCTGAAAATTGGACGGAGAGCTGGTAATAACTAATTCGCTTAATTTCAACACGAGATTCACCGGTTCTAAGCAGTCCTTGTATCAAAACAACATTTAACATTTCGAATCAAAGTTCACTGTTTCAAACGAAGTTCAACATTTTAAAACAAAGTCTTTATATCTCCCAGGGAGTCTCCTCTGTCTCTGAGGTCTTCCACCTTTTGGTGTTGCTGGTGGGCTAGGTACTGTTGCTTGATCAACTGCTGCATTCTTACTAGCAGAGGTTGTACCAGATTTGCTTCCTGCACTTGCTTGTGCTAAAGGTGTGAGATGAGTTAGGGGTCTACTGGGAGGTGTTGTAGGCACTACTGATGTAGATCCACTCATCACTTGATTTGGTACCACGGTAATTTCAGGTGTTGTCGGTACATCGACACTGACAGGTGGTTCTTCCGGATTGTCAGGGCTCACAAACTTCTTGACATGGGATGTATTCCTTGAATACTGCGTTCCACCTGGAGTTTCCACAACAACACTGTTACCGGTCTTGCTAACCACTTGGAATGGTACTGGATTAAATGGCGTGGAAAACTTGTCTCTTTTCTCTTGCCTCACCAGGACTTGATCACCAACTTGAACTTCTGATGGTTTTGCATTCATGGATTTATCAGCTATTACTTTGGTCTTTGCTTTCACTTCGGCATCTCTATCTCGAGTTTCCAGGTCCAAGTGATGGTCGGCATGTAGCTCTGGTAGCTTTCCTCTCATCTTTCTGTTAAACAATAATTCCGCAGGGCTCTTACCGGTTGTCGCGTGATCAATACCTCGGTATTTAGTCACATATTTTCTTAGCTCCTTCACCCAGTCTAATCCTTCGGCTTGGGCAATGCGGATTCTCTTCATCAGCGATGCATTTTGTCTCTCTACCTCCCCGTTGGCTTGAGGCCATTTTGGTGTGGTCTTGGTGTGAACAATTCCATTCTGCTTACAATATTCCCGGAATTCTTCGGAGCGGAATTGTGGACCATTGTCTGACTTTATGGTCAGAGGAAGGCCATGGCGGCTGAAAATCTCTTCCAGGTTGTCAATTACTTTCTCTGTGACGGTTGACATCATGATGGCGTACTCATAATAACGACTGTAGTAGTCCACAACAACAATGATTGAGTGTCCCGAAGGAAGTGGTCCTAGGAGGTCTATAGCTAGGTTTTGCCAAGGACCTTCTGGTAATGTCGTGGATCTCAATGGCTCAGGTGGGTCTGGGCGAGATACCAGTTGACATCCGTGACAGGACTTGCAGAATTTCTCTGCTGCCTTATCCATACGAGGCCACCACACCTTACTTCTTAAATTTTGCTTTGTTCCCACAATTCCTAGGTGTCCTTCATGGGCTAAGCTGATTGCCTGAGCTCTGAGTTTGTTTGGTAACACAATACGGGTACCTCTCAAGACTAGCTGTCCAATCACACACAGTTCTCCTGCGGCTGGTGCATAGTTTTTGCACTTCTCAAATCTGCCAGTTTTAATTGCTTCTCTCAGGACTTTTAATTCTTCATCTGTTGCAGATGCTTCTTCGACTTCTCTCGTGGTTAATGCTTGGGGAGTGGCACTGATAGCTGCGAATCGGATGTACTCTTCTGCCCCATGTGGATGACTCGTCACTTTGTCTTGCTTAAGCAGGCGGGAAAGAGGATCAGCTATATTATTCTGCCCTGGAGTATATACAATTCGGAAGTCGTAGGGTTGTAACCGTATTGTCCACCGTTCGATGCGGGCACAGGGCTTGGAACGTGGCCCGTAGATGACCTCCAACGGTTTGTGGTCAGTTACCAGATCAAATTTCATGCCATAAATGTATGCATGATACCTCTCACATGCCCAAACGAGAGCGAGGGCTTCCTTTTCGGTCTGGGAGTACTTGCGCTCACACTCTGTCAAGCTGCGGCTTGCATAGCAAATTGGCACCCATGCTTCATTTTGGTTCTGTAGTAACACAGCTCCGAGGCCGACTGGACTGGCATCAGCTATTACTTTGGTTGCTGCGCCTTTGTTAAAATATGCAAGTGTTCCTGCGTCAGCCATGCTCTGTTTCAGAATCTTAAAAGCGGTTTTCTGCTCAGGTCCAAAGTGGAATGGAACAGCCTTTCTGGTCAAGCTCCTTAGTGGCTCAGTGATAGTAGCGAAGTGAGGAATAAACCTGCTGCTATAATTGGCCAATCCCAGGAAGCTTCTTACTTCGCTGACGGTGGCAGGTTCCCTGTTTCTTGCAAGGCTCTGATTCTTTCTTCTGTTGGGCCTATCCCTTTTTCAGAGAGAAGAATTCCCATGAAAATCACTCTGTCCACATTGAATAGGCATTTGTCAGCATTGAGAGTTAAGCCATGCTGCTTGAGGCGTTCCATTGTCTTATATAGGCGTTGGTCATGAGTTGCCTGATCCGGGCCATGTACTATGATGTCGTCAGATATATTATCGACTCCTTCTATTCCAGCTAAAGCTGTGGATATCTCATGTTGGTACTGCTCACTCGCTGAACACACGCCAAATAATAGACGTTTGTACCTGTACAAGCCTTTGTGCGTCACAAAGGTGGTGATCTGTCGTGACTCTGAATTAAGTTCCAATTGGTGGTATCCCCACTTTAAGTCTAACTTGCTAAAGACTTTGGAACCATTCATATTGTGTAGCAGTTCATCTACAGTTGGTATTGGGTATCTGCCACGTACTATGGCCTTGTTCGCTTGTCTCATATCGATGCAGAGGCGTATGTCACCATCTGCCTTTGGTATGATCACTACTGGATTTACCCATGGTGTAGGCCCGTCTACTTCCTCTATAATATCACAATTCAACAACTCTTGAACCTTCTTTTCTACCTTCTCTTGCAGATTGAAAGGAATTCGCCTCAGGGGTTGGGCTACTGGTTTCACTGTTTCGTCTATGT